TTTTTTTTTTAAGATTTTTTTTTAAATGTTTATTTACTTTAGAGAGAGAGAAGGGGGGAGGATCCAAAGCTAGCTCTGTGCAGGGCTCAAATTCACAAACTGCGAGATCATGACCTGAGCCGGAGTCGGAGTCGGAGTCGGAGGCTTAACCGACTGAGCTGCCCAGGTGCCCCAAACTTTCTACAATGAGAATGTGTTAACACCTCAAGTCTGAGAGAAAACCCAGTCAGTTGCATCGTAACCACGGTTTCTAAGGGGAGCAGTCTCCCTCGAGAGCTTCTGGTCCCTTGTGGCCGGGCGTGTTGTGTGAGGTCATGAGGAATGACTGTGTCTCCTGAGCCCACAGCACAGGATGAGCACCCACCTCCCAGAGGCGCCCCATTCACACAGGCCAGGTTAACAGCAACTACAAAGTGAAGGTCATCCCAATAACGACCATTTACAGGGCTTTTCCTATGCGCCTGGCCCTGTGCTGAGTGCTTTGTGGGCATTTCTCAGGCATCATCTCCTTGAACTCATCAGGGGCCAGTCTAATTCCAAACCCAGGCTCTTACTGGCATCAAACTCTGGTAAGGAAGAAGTCTTTAAGGACTATCTTTATGGTAAGTCTGTTTCTAAGGAGAGTGTCTGGGATGCCCATAACCTTCTTTTTGATCCATTTACGTAAGAATAATGTTAAATTTTTACTTTTGACCTATAATTGTTGCTCCCAGAGGTCGTTTTCATGAATAACATGTCCCACTGCGTCTCTTGTTTTCGTTCCGCCTACCTTTTCTTCCGAGGGGTAAAAGCCAACTGCTCTCATGACAAAAGGAAGCTCCGACAGGCAAATGTGTTCCGACACCTTTCTGGTCTCCATTGTATCAATTCCTTGACTACGGAGCTGAGAATAGTAAAAATAGTCTTCCAGCTCCTATGTGCAAATACAATGAAACACAAGACACATTTTGGCTCAAGTCTGCAGCATCCATTAGGACTTCAAGGACATTTTCTAGAAAGTACGTTCAGAGCTCAGTGGGGAAAAGAGCTTTGGGAAAAAGGCAAGAAGGTTCATCCCGGGCTCATTTGTTTCACAAACTTAACTAGATGTTACCAGGAAGTGTTTACTCTGAGGACAATTACCCTGTAGAATTTTCCTTCCCTGCCACCAGCCACCAGACCGTAGAACGGGGTCAAGTCTTCGCCCCCGAGAGAAACTGCAGCCTCCAGAGCACTAGAACGGTGACAGAAACATCACTGTTAGGGAGCGCTCGCGCCTGAGCACTGGCCAGCCCGAGTCCCGCTGGCACTGCGGACCTCGGCAGGGTGTCACGATGCCCATACAAGTAGGGTCTCGGTAAACTTGTCAGGAAAATTCCTTCTGAAATGAAGCCAAAAACGGAAAATTCAATTTCAATGTAGAACCTGGTGGTACAGGGTACCTGCCTTAATGGTAGTGATATTCTCTCGCCGATGACAGGGCAGGCGCTTGGCAATTTGTGGGCAATCTTCGGGGAGCACGGCTCCTCCCCTGAGGGAGGCAGGGAGGGGGGGAGGGAGGGAGGACCCCTGTGCACTGAAACCACAGTGCATCCCAGTGGAGCCGCGTCCCTCGTGAGATCTGTGTATGACCAGAGCCAAAAACCGGGGTAAGTGCAGGTACACTGCCAACACTAATTGCTTCCATAAAAACTCGGGAGGCCACAAGGGACCCATGCCAGTCAGATAAAAATAACCCTCTGCTCTCTAACATGGGGTCAGGTTTTCTAAAAATAGGCACCGTAAATGGTAAGAAAACCTACTTTTTTGTATGAGACTGACTCTGCCTCGCACGAAATACACGTAATAGGAAATCATTGTAATAGCCCACTAACTGGATTTCTGCTAATCAGGCCATTAGCCTCTTTGTGGAGTTATTAAAACACACTTCGGTGCAGACCACAGCAGGGAAGTGGTTAAGTATCCAGAATCTGGAGTCAGAGGGACACGCGTTGAGTCCTGGCTCTGCCACTCGCAAGCAGTGTGGTCACGGGTCAGCGACAGCCTCCCTGGGCCCCAGTTTCCTCATCTATGAAATGGGAATAGTCACAGGTCTGCCTCACAGGGTTGTTTCGAAAATAAAGTGAAGGCACATAAAGGGTTTGACACGAAGCCCTTTGTTTTCCTCCGTGATGAGCGTTTGTTAGGTGTGGTGTTGAATCTGAAAGACCGGATGTGAATCCCAGCCCCACCACTTACTCCAGTGCCTGGGGGGGGGGGGGGTCATTTAGCACCCTGGAGCTAGTTTCCAGATATATGGGGGTACCACCGTGGGGACATTGCCAGTCCCTGCCTCCCAGGATGGCTGTGAGCATGAAATCAGAAAATGGGTGGAGAGCAGTCAGCACAGGGCCCGGCCCAGCGAAGGCTCAGTACGAGGAGCGATTATTACTGTTGAACTGGGCATCACTATTCACCTGCATGGCTCTCCTCTTCAAAGAGTCAGCCACAAAAGCGTGCTGGCCCTCTGTCACGGGAGCCCGCATAAGCAGGCTACCTTCGGGTCTGGGGGAGCTGGTGTATTCTCCAGGGGGCCTGAGGCCCCTCTCCGGCAGGGCCCCGGCTTCACCCAGCTCTCAGCTCTGGTATTAGCTATCAAGGCAGGTATCCAGCGGACAGGGCTCCTCCTCTGTGGCCTCCAGGCCTTGTCCAGCCCCAATCCCGACAGGCTCTGTGGGAGACCACTTTTAGCCACGTGGCTCTGGAACAGGGCCAGGTAAAGGCCAGAGGCGACACAGAGGAGCCTGTCACTACCAGGAGTGTCTGGGAAAGACTCACAAGAGCTCCGGATTCTCTGGAAACAGCACTCTGGTGGTCAGGACCGTACTATGCACCCTACTTCCTGCCCGCCGCTGACTGACCCCAGAGAGCGAGAGGGACAGGACTGGCCTGTCCAAGCAGAGCTGGAGAAGGAAACCCACTCCCTCTGCGGTGAGAGCTCCAGTTTGTGAAATCTGAGGACGGTCAGTGGCCATGTTCACTCCGGGTGACAAAATCCACTTGTGCAGAGAATGAAGCCAGTAGCAGAGCCCCACAGAGAGCAAGTGGCGAGGGCACCGCGTGCACACGCAGTCCCTGCACCTCGTGCAGCATGGTTACCTGAGATGCCCAGGACCTTCTCATTAATTCCCCTTTGTGCTTCAGTTGGGTTTCGAATACTTGCAATAAAAAAAGGGGGTCATTAGGGCACAAAGGGCAAGGATGCTTATTGCAAACCTACTGTGTGCCGAGCCATACTTCTGGGACATGAGCTCAGTGAGGAGAAGCAGTGAACACTGTAATCAGCACATGGTAAGTTTCAGCAAATGCTCCCTAGGGGAGGAGGCAGGAGAGGAACAGCAGCTGTGGTAATCTCTACCCTCAAAACACTGATGGTATTCCCATTTAACAGATGGAGAAACTGAGACTCAGAAGTTAAGGGACTAGCCTGAGGTCATAGAGCAAGCAGGCAGGAAAGGTGGTATGTGAATCTGGGTCTTTCTGCTCTTGTCTGAGCACAGCAGCAGGACCCCAGGTGGCTATGAGGTGAAGCACAAAAGAGCAATGGGGGATTTAAAAACGGGTGCCAGGGGCGCCTGGGTGGCTCAGTCAGTTGAGCGTCCCACTCTTGATTTTGGCTCAGCTCATGATCCCAGGGTCGTGGGATCGAGCTCTGAGTCAGGCTCCACACTGAACATGGAGCCTGGCTGAAGTCCCTCTCTCTCTCTCCCTCTGCCCCACTTCTCCACTCACTCTATCTAAACAAACAAACAAACAAACAAACAAACCAAACCATCAAAACCAAACAGGTGCCAAACAAGGGGAGGAAAAAGGCAGCATGCCAGCAAAGTCGGGGCAAAGGCACAGCACAGTACGCGTGGAATGAACCCTAGGAGAAGATGAAGGGAAGGGGTCTGCCCAGGAGAAGGTCAATGTGCTGCAGTGATCGTATTTGGGCCCAGAAGCACCCTGATTACAATCACGGGAACGTGAGCGGACTTAACATCTGTACTTCACCCTACGACTCACCGTCGTTAGACCAGCAGGGAATTTTGTTTGTTTATTTGTTTAGGGTTGTTACATTTCTTCCCATTAGTGAAGCACTGAACATATTAAGACACCAGAAACAGCAATGAAGTGCTAATTAGCTTATAATGATCCTTTGTCCCCACAACAGATTAAATTGAAATTCTCGGAAGCCTGGACTCTGGCCAGGCACCGGGAAGCCATTGGAAAGCGGGTGCCGTTTTTCACCCTCTAATCTCTACCATGATTATCGAGAAGAAGACAAAAATGAAAAGGTGTGTGTGGGGGGCGGATTCTGTTCTCTCAGCAGGGTTTGGCTCGCCTCCACTGTTCCAGGGACTGGCCACACACTCAGGAAGTACTTTTCTTTTTTTTTTTTTTTTTTTTTCCAACGTTTATTTATTTTTGGGATAGAGAGAGACAGAGCATGAACGGGGGAGGGTCAGAGAGAGAGGGAGACACAGAATCGGAAACAGGCTCCAGGCTCCGAGCCATCAGCCCAGAGCCTGACGCGGGGCTCGAACTCCCGGACCGCGAGACCGTGACCTGGCTGAAGTCGGACGCTCAACCGACTGCGCCACCCAGGCGCCCCAGGAAGTACTTTTCAATGTGAGAGCTCACCTCTAGCTTCGGAATTCCCAAATTCCCACCATCTGCCCTTAGGTGAAGGCAGAGGTGAAGGTCAGAGTGACAACCGCAGTCTGAAGCCAGCGAGGATCCAGAGCAGACTTACCTGGCGAGTTTTGCTTATATTCAGGTTAAGGGAAGAAGCTTCGATGTCTGCCATAAAAGAAAGATGTACGCTTGGCAGATGACAGGGGGTACACTTTCACTGGGAGCCAGGAATCGGAGGAAGGTAGGATTCTTTAAGAGGGAAGGTGCCGCTGAGCTGTCTATACCCAGCTCTTCAACGGGACTCTGCCGGGCAGGAGGCCATCTGAGAGGCAGGGGCTGGGAGAAGGTGTTGAGGGACAGGCACTGGCTCTGCCCTGTGGCAGCTCAGTGAATCGGAGTAGATGAGAGGATTACTGTAGTACTTGCCCCCCTTTTCGGGAAAGCTCTTTAATAAGACCTTCACAAGGAAGAACACAGGAGAGGAAATAATGTACCGAGCCCTTAGCTCTGTGCTGGATGCCTTCCCTATATTAACCTACTCAATCCTTCTTACAAGGATCCTATTAAAGTCCCTATCATTACCCTCCTTCCCCCCACCGTTTCACAGACAAGGAGTCTGAAGATCAGAGATGGTAAGAAGCATGCCCTGGGTGTCACAGCCAGCAGAAAGGAGGCTCCACATCCAAACCCATGTCTCTTGGGCCCCCAGGTGCAGGTACTGTCTGATCCTCGACCCGGATTTTTCCAGCCTCGCCCAAGGTAGAGCGTCTCAGCTCAGGGCAGGCGGGTGTGAAGAGCAGAGTGGACACACATGTTTCAATAAGACTCCTACTATTTCTGTTACACGTGCTTGGGAGATTTGGGCAAGATCTTTGTAGCTGGTGCGAGTTTGCAGATGACAGAGTGGGAAGTATTTCAGGGGCCGCACCAAACAAAGTGGAATCACGCTGCCTTCGCTGCAAATAGTAGTGAATAGTAACCTTTTATCCGCACATCAGTATGGACAGATGTCATGGGGAGGAACCTGAACGCCAGGCTGTAGGGGGTTAACACCCGTCTGCTGTTACTAGTTAAGAAAAGAGGGTCTGGGGGCACCTGAGTGGCTCAGTCGGTTGAGTATCCGACTTCGGCTCAGGTCATGATCTCGTGGTTCATGAGTTCGAGCCCTGCGTCAGGCTCTGTGCTAACAGATCCTGGAGGCTGCTTCAGATTCTGTGTCTCCCTCTCTCTCTCTGTCCCTCCCATGCTCTCTCTCTCTCTCTCAAAAATTAATAAACATTAAGGAAAAGGCGTCTACACTTGACACCTTCTTTGTGGGGGTAGGTTCTTGCCTCAACACATACCTTAAGTTGATTTCCCATTGCACCACCGATCGATCATGTCCTCCTGCCGTGAAGGCATAGCAGCCGTCATAGGAAACGGTCATTCCAGCCACCCCGCTTGGGTGGCATATAATAGCAGATGTCTTATGTGGATTGCCATCAACAGGTAAGATCTGAAGTCCAACCTAGGGAGGAATATGTAATTGGAAATTCAGATTCAGACAACTGGGGCCTGGGCTAGGACCTCGCACATTCACGTGTTACCTCCGGTTCTGTTTACTGGAAGGACGTGTGCATCTGGAGCTACCCCACACATTTCACGTGGCCAGGGGCTCACATACACTGACCCCTGTGGGGCGTTCCCTTAGGAGAGAGATGCCAGGTCCCGGTAGAGACCCAGGAAGGATTTCACTGGTCTTCAGAGTCAGATATCCAAGGTTTTCCAGAATAATTCTGGAATCCCATGATTTTACGCTTTTCAATAGATTATTTAAGAAAATTTTTTTGAAATATTTATTTATTTCTGAGAGAGACAGAGACAGAATATGAGTGGGTTAGGGGCAGAGAGAGGGAGACACAGAATCCGAAGCAGGCTCCTGGCCCTGAGCTGTCAGCACAGAGCCCGACGCGGGGCTCGAACCCACAGGCCGTGAGGTCATGACCTGAGCCGAAGCCAGACGCTCAACTGACTGAGCTACCCAGGCGCCCCTCGATTATTTATTAAATGTAGGACTAAGTGCAACGAGTTTGCATGTCTTTATAAGTTTTTTTCCATGTAAATAAATCAGAGAGAAAACATCCTTTGGTGACAATGTGTCTTCGCACGGGTACAGAAAATATAGTTAACTCCGCTCAAAAATGCCTCCGAAGACCCATTTCCACTCATTTATGGCAAATTTCAGTATCACTGTGGACAGGGACAGAAGTCAGGGGCTGGGCTATGACACCCAGCATCCTAGAGTCTGATCCTACTTGGGGCTGACTGCCACTCAAAACCCACAGAGTCATCTCACAGAGGCAGAGAGCAGAGGCTCATACCTTGTCTCTGTTAATAAACACCATGTAGCGTTTCTGCAGTTCCAAGGTGCTCTTCACTGGGAGGATTTGTACCTGTTCAATGGAAGAACCATAAACTGGCCCAAGAAGCGTCTTTCTGCATGAGAAAAAAAAAAAGAAACATTTTTTTTTCAGTTCCACAAATCTGAATGCAGTTTTCCTGACTAGCTACGTTTCATGATGCTGTATACATTTTAAATTCTGAATTTCCTGACCTGTCACTTGGCTAAGAACCTCGCTCTCAACTGCGGCTAACAGCTGCCATAAATAAGGGGCACAGCCTCAAACGGTAAATGCTCCAGGAAAGTCAGACTGTGAAGGATGCTTTCTGCGTGGAGGTTCTGACTTTCCTTCCTGACGGCTGAGTGAAGGGAACATTATGCCTCGAGGATGTGTACGGGAACAGGGGATGTGAAAAAGGCGGTGAATGAGAGGCACGCGTGGGCAGGAAGCAGGAAAACACCCCTTCCTCAGTGGTCGGCCAAGAGATTAGATGACGTGATACCTGTTGCTACAGATGCCTGACGCGCGGGTCCAAGTGCAACACACAGACTTCCTAAAAAACTGTCTGTGACTCAGACTGTAATGAATTGTACCTCCACAATGGTCAGACTTCTTTAACTCAGACTCTGTTAGGAATCTGATCTGAGGCGAGGAATTGACGGGATGTTACCCTGAGCCCGGAGCAGGACATTTCCTGAAGCTGGAAAATGGTAGCTTCAGGACTCTGGCTCACACAGGCATCTTCTGAGGCCTAGGAGGAGTCCTGGTGTGTTTTAGTCTTAATTATATACCCCCTTTTTTTTAACAGTGCCCACAAATCCTAACACACTTCATACCTCGCAAAACCTGGATCTGTCCCTGTGAGGCGAGTAGCTATTACAATCTTATTATAAGTCCCTTGTTGTTTGGATGTGTTTTCTCCCTGTGTCCCCTGTCCCCAGCCCATGTCTAGTGGGGACAGTACATACTCCATGTACGTGCACTGAACAAAGTACAAATCCATTAAACAGCCTTTTTTAAGGACCTTCTGTGCCAGGCACTGTGCGAGGTGCTCGGACCCAGACGTGAGCTCACAGCCTGGCAGGGACGACAGGCACGGGAGCACCGTGAGGGCAGAGGCATGGGAACAGGCAGGTTCAGGGCTCCGAGACAGCTCTGAGGAAGGAGACCTGTGAGCTGGGTGTGCAATGGTGAGTTGGAAAGGTGGAGAAGAATATGGAGGTGACAGAACAGGCAGTGGAAACAGGGGGTGCAAGTGCATGGAAGATGGACTGTTGGTGGAAAACTGCGGAAGGAAAATTCAAGGGGGAAGGAGTGGGAGGTGGAGGGCGGTGAGCTGAGCAGGGGAGCAGGGGCCAGTTGTGAGGGCAGATGCTGGCCGGGCTGCAGGATGCTGCAGGGGGCCGGGGGTGGGGGGGATCAGGTTGGATGATCCATGGTCAGGTTCATACACATGGAGACTTAGGTGAAATGTCAGAAATGCTAAACAGCCACCTGAGGGACCACACGTTGGTTAGCCACAAGTCACCCTGTGTGGGGATGTCCGAGGACCTTCCCCCAGTATCCCTGAGTGGACAGAGGTGGGGAGACCATGGCTAAGAGAAGACTGATTTGAATCCCACGTGGAGGACGTGGGGCTGTCACACACCGCTGGTGGGAACGTGAGCGGGTGGCACTGTTTGGTAACCAGTCTGGCAGCTCCTCATCATGGTTAAACAGTTACTATGTGATCTGGCACTTCTACTCCCAGGTCTCTACCCAAGAGAAACGGGACACGTATCTGCATGGAAACCTACACACAAATGTTCATAAGAGCCCAACACAGAGACAACACCGATGTCCACCAACAGGTGAATGAATAGACAGATGAGGTAGACATTTTCTTTATGTTTATTTATTTTTGAAAGAGAGACAGAGCGTGAGCAGGGGAGGGTCAGAGAGAGATGGAGACAGAATTGGAAACAGGCTCCAGGCTCTGAGCTGTCAGCACAGAGCCCAATGCAGGGCTCAAGCTCACGAACTAAATGTGAGATCATGACCTGAGCCGGAGTCAGGCACTTAACCGACTGAGCCACCCAGGTGCCCCCAAATGGGATACATCTATAAAATGGAGTATTATTCAGCCATAAAAATGAACACTGAAACATGCCACACCACAGATGAACCCTGAAAACAGGATGCTGAGTGAAAGAAGCCAGACACAAAACGTCACACAGGCATAATTCCATACACACGAAATATCCATAATAGATAAATGCACAGAGACAGATGCAGATTGGTGGCTGTCAGGAGTGGGGCAGGAGTTGGGGAAGGAAGGAGGGTATGGGGGGTGGCTGCTAATGGGTGCAGGGTTTGTTTTTGGGGTGATGAAAATGCTCTTGGATTAGACAGTGGTGATGATTGCACAACTTTGTAAATATAGTAAAAACCACTGAAAAGGGGTAAATTTTATGATATGTAAAACGTATCTTGGTTTAAATTATAAGTAAGCAAAAAAAAAAAAAAAAAAAAAAAAAAAAAAAAAAGGTCGAACTATTCAGCCTCCCGATGCTTCCACTTCCTCAACAGTAAATGGGGACAATGACAATGACAGCACCTGCCCCAGGAGTCAGTGGTAAACATTAAGTAGGTTAATATACATAAAGCACTTGGAACAATTTCTGGCACATAGTAGGAGCCAGACAATGTAACTGTCACCATTGTTAAGCATATCTGACAATTTCATAAAGTTAGCATCTTTTGCTTCTAATTAAAAAAGTATTACATATTCATTGTAAACAATTTCACACACTTAGACATGCATAAGATAGACAGTCTACCTAGACTCCCACATTGCTGCACTCTTTCATCCCGAGATAATTGTGGGTAACAGTCTGGTGTCTGAGACTTGAGAATTTCTTTTATGTATTCTAACCTATGTAATTATAATTTTATGTGAAAATTATATAAATTATGGAAACACCATTGTATATGAAAATATAGTATGTCATAGGGATAGTTGCATGATACTACACAGAAAGCTGATTTTTTTCTTTCTTTTTTTTAAGTAGGCTTCATACGTAGCACAGAGCTCAGTGTGGGGCTTGAACTCATGACCCTGAGCTCAAGACCTGAGCTGATCAAGACAAATGCTTAACCCAGCCACCCAGATGCCCCTCTTTTTTTCTTTTCTACAAGCAGTATCATGTTTCAGCGTAGTAACAAGCCATCATTTAACCAATCCCCTATTAATGGACATCTGGATTGTTTCCACTTTTGAAAATATTTTCAAACAAGACATCCTTTTACTTATGTCTTGGCATACTGGGTGAGGACGTCTGTGGGCTACATTCCTAGACATCAGACAACATGATGCAAATTAACAGCGGGCAACAATTGCTCTCCCAAAGGATGCCCCAGTTTCCACATCTCCCCAGCAGGCAGAGAGTGCCCACCCCCCTACACCTTTGCCAACACTGTGCACTGTTGGTCAACTTTATCTTTGCTAATCTGGTTCGTGAAAAATGATGTCTTGCTTTCATTTACATCTTTGATACACTAGTGAACATCTGCTCATAGGTTTATTGGCCTTTTTCTGCGAACTGCCTTTTTAAGGTCTAGATATTTTTTAATGCATTTTAAAATTGTTTTGGATTTATCATGAAAAGGCACTTCTTACCCAAGTAAGTGTGGTTATGAGGCCTTATTATTCCTACAACTTAAAAGATGCTTTATGCAAAGGGCTTTACTTTGGAGTGATGGAGATGTTTTGGAATTAGATACAGGTGGTTGTTGCATGACATTGTTAATGCATTAAATGCCAGTGAATTGTTCACGTTAAAATGGTTAGTTTTGGGGTGCCTAGGTGGCTCAGTCAGTTAAGAATCTGACTTTGGCTCATGCCATGATCTCACAGTTCGTGAGTTCAAGCCCCATGTTGGGCTCCGCGTTGATGGCTCGGAACCTGGAGCCTGCTTTAGATTCTCTGTCTCCCTTTCTCTCTCTGCCCCTCCCCGGCTTGTGCTCACTCTCTCTCTCTCTCTCTTTCAAAAATAAACAAACATTAACAAAATTAAAAAATAAAATGGTTAGTTTTTATGTTTTTTTAAATGTTTATTTTTTTGAGAGAGAGACAGAGCTGAAGTCAGACACTTAACCGATTGAGCCACCCAGGTGACCCTAGTTTTTATATTTTGTGTTATTGAATTTCACTTCGATAAATTATTTTTTAAGGGACACCTGGGTGGCTCAGTTGGTTAAATGTCCAACTCGTGATTTCAGGTCAGGTCGTGGTCTTGGGGTCATGAGATCAAGCCCCACTTTGGACTCCACACTCAGCATGGAGCTTGCCTGACATTCTCTCTCTCTCTCTCTCTCTCCCCTCTCCCCCTCCCTGCTCAGGCTGTCTCTCTGAAAAAAATAGTAAAAGATGTTTTATGAAAAGAAATTTTTAAATAAAAATAAAAAGATGCCTTATGCTAATTTCCAACTGATTATCAATGGCAGAAACTCCTCTAACTGTGTGGCTCTAGGTCTCTGCTTAGTAATTATTAGCAGGAACTTCGAGCCTGGGGGCCCTCCATGCCCAATCTATCTGCTTGGCAAAGTCAGATTTTCTCAGGACTTCCATATCTATGGGATAGTCCATGTCCAAAAGGTTTGTTTCCATTAAAGATCATGTACGAAGATTCCAGGATCGCCTAAAATTCTTTTGCCATGTATCTTTCAAATGTCTCCTTCCCAGTGTTTTAACATTAAAAAAAAGTTGTGCTGGATTTCTCTCCTATTCATGCCACATGACATAGCATTTCTCAGTCATTTTTCCTTGTACCCTTCTGGAAACAAATGTTTAAAAAAGGAAGAAGAAGAATATGATGGTGATCCTCTGAGGACCTATCTTACTGAGAAACATTTCAAAACGATGATCTTCCTCAAGCATAGGACCAGCTGCTATTGGCCAGTTTTCTCACTTCTTTCTCCCAGGTGAGGTCACTAATGAGTTCTCACCTCTGTGTTTCTCCAGCCTCCACGCCTCTGATCTTGCCAGCCATACCACAAGGCAGCCAAACCACAGGCAGAGAGGGGATGCACCCAAAGCAAGGGCTGCACCGGCACTCAGTGGTGTGAAGTAGAGGACAGAGTCAGAACTAGGTTCAAGGATTAAGTCTCATCCTTTCCTGAGCAGCAATTTCTGTTGCATGTCAGAACCTCAGTGGGATAATACTTGGGAGCGTTGTTGAAGAAGAGTGCAGAGCCCTGATGCAGGGACGGTGCACCATAATCTGTATCTATCAGGGGGAGCAAACCCTGGGGGCCGGGCCTAGCAGCACAAGTGCCAAACACAGATGTAGACCTACTTCAGGATGGAGAGGCTGCTGCTCTGAAAGGCTCAGCTTTGAAGATGCCCTGGGCTTGGTCCTTTGGCCGCTCCTCTATACACTTTTCCCTTCTGGAATCTTCTCTCATCTCATGGCTTTAAAGCACCATGAGCTCCTGACCTCAAACATGGACCCGGCCCAGAACTCCCATGAACTCCACTCCCCCTCCAAGATGCAAATTCCATGGTGGCAGGAACAATGCTGTTTGCATCTCCACCTTCAGCACCTCGGACAGAACCTGGCTCAGGTAGGGGCTGGGTGAATACTGCGGGAACACACGAATGCCTTCAGGTAAACTGAAAAACTCCTTTAGGAACCAAGAGTAAGAAAAATTGCACAATTAGGGGCATCTGGCTGGCTCAGTCGGTAGAACATGTGATTCTTGATCTCGGGGTTGTGAGTTTGAGCCCTACGTTGGGTGCAGAGATTACTTAAAAAATAATAATAAAATCTTTTTTTAAAAATCACACAATTGGTAGTATTCAAGTGAAAATATCTGTTGTTATCCATGAGGGAAGGATAGGAGAGTTTATAAAGCATCAGCAACTTCTTGGGTTCCTTCACAGGGTCTCAGGCACTGAGCTCTGGGTCCCTCATCTCTGTGCAGGGCTGGGCTCAGAAGAGGGCTCTGGATTTGCATCCTGCCTCTGGCAACTTCCCAGCCACGTGACCCTGGATGAGAATTTCTCAACTTTTCCATGCCTTTCTTTCCTCCTCTGCAAAGTGAGTGTGAGTAAAGGTAGCCAAGCTGCTCATGGGTCCATGAGCTGGGACGTGAAATAAGCTGGGGGCTGAGGAACTGATTTCTGCATCAATGGGAGGCTCCTGCTGCTTACCTGCACATTTTCGTGGTGGAATTAAAAAGTTTCACTTTGTAGCCACTGTTGCAAATGAGCAGGAAGAGTTCCCTGGTGAGTGGTGGGTACCAGACCATACAGGTAGGGTAGTTGCCCTGATCGGTTCGGTGAATGTCCAGGACTTCCAGGTGGTCTTTGGAGCTCTTAAGAAGATTATACTCAATCTGCAGAGGAGCCCAGATATTCACACATGAGGACTGAGCCAAATGAAGTAAACCCACAGTCTTATTCTGGGGGAAACAACGTTGGGCCTCTTAAGAGAAGACTTGCTTAGACCCTTGCTCCTAATAAGCTGCCATTATGGAGCATTCCTTATGGGCAAAGACAGTGAGCTAAGCACCTTAAAAACATGATGCCATTTAACACTCATGACTTCCCTGTCAAGTCGTACCATTGTGCCCATTTTACAGATTAGAAAACCTGTTCAGAGTGGTTCAGTGGCTTGCCCAAGGTCACACAGCTAAGAACTGGTAGGGTGAGAATTCAAATTTAGGTTCCAACTGACTCCAAAACCTGAACTCTCACAGTTATGTTATACTGTCTCCCTTAACATTATCTTGGGAACTCTTTGAGGGTGGGAACTAATTCATATCTAAATCTCAGCACTTGACCATGATAAATTAGCAGCTTGCTGAATTTCACCCATAGGTAGATTTTGGTGGCCAGGCCAGGATGAATGAATGGATGGGTGGCCATAATAAAGGAGACAAAGGGATGGAGGAAAGGGAGGGAGCGAGGAAGGAAGTTAAGATGGATAGAAACAGAACTTCTTTGACTCACGAGGGGGTTACATCCCAATAAACCTATCGTAAGTCAAAAATGCATTTAACACACCTACCCTAGGGAACACCGCAGCCTAGCCTGGCCCGCCTTAGACATGCTCAGAACATGGACATGAGCCTCCAGTTGGGCACAGTCATCCACCACAAAGCCTGTTTCATAATGAGGTGTTGACTATTGCATGTAATTTACTGAATCCTGTACTAAAAGTGACAAATGTAACAGCCGTGTGGGTGCAGGTGGCTGTCCGTGTACCACCCGTTGACCCTCCCGACCGTGTGGCTGCCTGGGAGCTGCTGCGGCCTCTGTCCAGCATCGCGGGAGAGGGTGGGGCCACAGGTCGCTAGCCTGGGACAGGATCCAGATTCAACCTTTCAAACACAGCTTCTACTGAAGGAGCATTGCTTTTGCACATCCTTGAGACCAAGCATCGACCCAGAGATGTTTATGCTACTATGTTATGCTGTACACTCATTTTCTCCAACATGCACTGTGGGCCCAGTGCTATACCAGATGCCAGAGACACAACAAGAATGAAATACACACAGTCCCAGTGGTGAGATAAACGGACACTGAACGGCTTACCAAGAGCCTGTCTTTCCCGAGGCTCAGCAGTCTCGGCTCATTGCTGTCCAGATGAACCCCAAACAGGAGACTGCAAATGCTTTTGCGATGAGAACGAAGTCTTGCCAGATATTCCCAGACCCTGTGTCCATTTCTGACTACCACCACATAAACAGACACGGTAAAACATACATCCTGAATAGGAGCAAAAGAGTACAAGTCATTCCTTGCTAGGTTTTGTAACTTGAAAATCATCATCATGTTTTTCATACTAATGTTGCCGTTAGAATATTTTATCCAAGAGGCACCCGGGTGGCTCAGTCGGTTGAGCATTCAACTCTTGATTTGAGCTCAAGTCATGATCCTAGGGTTGTGAGATCAAGCCCTATGTCAGGCTCTGTGATGACAGCATGGAACCTGCTTGAGATTCTCTCTTTCTCTCTCCCTCTGCCCACCCCCCACTCTTGTCTGTGCTGTATCTCTAAAACAATAAAAAGAATAATAAAGAAGACTATTTTATCCAAAAATAAATTTTAGTCTATCAGACTAAATAATAAATAATTATTTATTTATTATATACAGTAATAAAATAACACCCATTTGGGGTGCCTGGGTGGCTCAGTCAGTTGAGCGTCCAACTTCAGCTCAGGTCATGATCTCTCAGTTCGTGAGTTCAAGCCCCGTGTCGGGCTCTGTGCTGACAGCTCGGAGCCTGGAGCCTGCTTCACATTCTGTGTCTCCCTCTCTCTGCCCCTTCCCCACTCATGCTCTGTCCCTCTCTATCTCTCAAAAATGAATAAACGTTAAATTTAAAAAAAAACAACAATACCCATTTTACAGAGGAACATATTAAGGTTAACAGTAGATAACCCACGAAGGTAATTGTTGGGGAGAGAGACACTGACACTGTGGCCTTACCCTTCTTTCTGGTCCCCACCTCTTTCTGTGTGGAAAAAGGAAACCCTGACTCTTTTGCCTTTGTCCTCCCTTCTCTGTATCCAGCTACACAAAACTTAAAACATGTAAGTTCTAAATAGTATCATGGCTGAGAGTGAACTGGGTAGGAGAGTGTGTGAGAGCAGCCTGAGGGAAGGGGGCGCCAAAGTCAGGTGCTGCAGGGGTGCGGAGGCTCAGCTTTGGGCCTGTACAGGCAGGAACAGAGGAGGGGCCGGGCACAGAGGCAGGGGTGGGAGAGCATCGGGGACATGGTGGCTCTTACTCCTCACCCCACATCAAGGCAAGACTTGCGCATTGCAGACCAGGAGAGCTGGCAGGAAGGGAGAGGTTAAAGGTCTCGGAAAATCTTTACTGAGCTTAAGAGCCCTATTCACAGAGGGAAGGAACAGAATCCAAAACACCAGGGAAGACTGTGCTTTGAGATGAATGAGAATGTCATCTTGTCAAAAATCAAAGAGAAAGATGAAAGGATGGATGCCGAGAAAGGGGTCCAGAAACCAACACACCGAAATGAGCTGTCAGGATGGCCAAATCCCAGTCCGCAGGTCCTGAGGCCCGGTCTCGTTTTCGAGCGAGAGTCTCCCCCACCCCCTTTACAGCGGCTTTGTGGAGATACAGTTCACACTCCACACAATTCACACCTTTAAAGTGTGCAACTCCATGGTTTTTAGTGTACTCACAGAGCTCTGCCCCATGCCACAATTTTAGAGCATTTACATGACCCCTCAAAGAACCCCGAACCCATCAGCAGTCACTCGCCAGCGATCCCCGCCCACTCCCCCCAACCCCCCCCCCCCCAGTCCTCTCTCCCTTTTGGTCGTAAACAAGGCTGCTAGACCACTGGATGGCACACAGTGGAAACACTTACAGCAGTTGCCATGTACTGGGAGTCATGCGAGAAGCTGACGTGAGTCACGCTGGTTCTGGAATATTTGAAAGGCTCCGGGATTTGGTTTTCTAAGGACATTGCATCGAGGATGTAAACTGTCCCTTCGGTGAAGCCGGCTCCAAGAAGGACTCCTGAAATCACAGGCCAGAGAACAATGCTGGAAAAGTACTTCACTCATTCAAGAAACATGGACTCCGGGCCAGGCCTTGTTCTAGGTGCTGAGGAGACAGCAATGAACATGACGGACAAGGACCCTGGATGGAGAAATAGACTGAAAAGCAGGAGTCTCTGGGATGAGTGCTCAGAGACTACTAGGCACCGAACGCTGCAGGGTCCAGAGGGACAAGGTGCGTCCTCTGGCCTGCTGGGGGGGAGTGCGGTCAAGGTGAACTTCCTGGAGCTGTTACAGCCAAGGGCTGCAGCCATTTGGGTCTGTTTTTGATTTGGAGACTAAGACAGGCTGATGAAATGAAAATACCTTCAGGGTTATAGGTTAGACTCTGGATGCCGAGCCCCTTCTCAAAGACCCTGCTGAAAAGGTATTTTTTCTTTTCATAATCCCACACTTTGATCATCCCACAGAGACTCCCAATGGCGAGGAAGGGTTGATACGGGTGGCAGGAGATGGCACAAATGGCATCCTTGGGCTCCACGAATAACTTCTCAAGTTTGGTCCCGTCTGTTGTTAAGTGGTACACTGTAGCGTCAGATGTTCCAATGATAAGATTCCTGTTTGCCAGGGAGAGACCAGACACTATCAGCGTTTGCAGGGAACGGGGCACGCCAGCTATTCTGCTTCTAATTGCACATGAAACGCCTCTGTCGTCTGTAATTTAGTGACATTATTAACCCACCATCTCCAAAAATATACTACCAATACCCAACAGCTTCCATTTGCAAGTGAAAAAGCCCACATTTCTACATGTAAATTGAGTCATTAAGTATGCAGATGGACAGTCAGTTGTACAATTAGCTAATCTGCACATGCAAATATTCATTTGTGTATGCAAATATGGAGTTTGGTGCACACATACAGATGTGCCTGCAAATACGGCAAGGGTAATTAAGCAGACTCGCACATAATTCAGTCTCGAAATGTTATGGCTATTAATTATCAAATGCCTTTAACCGCAGCGCTAGGGCAAACTCGGCCTGGAGAAGAGACACCAAGCTACAGCGAGGGACTCCAAACACAACAGAGATTAGAACTCAGGGATAAGCCCTTTCCAGCTTCCAGTCGCTGAAGAGTCTTAATACGAAAATAATGCCTCATTTTAAAAAATGATTAAATAGGGATGATAATCAGCCTTGGAGATCCATCTTCGAGCCCTGCAAAGGACTGAGCGATCCTGTTCTATCACATATGCTAGGAACAAGGTGAACATTCCACCGCATGCCAACTATAAGACATCAATCATTTTTTTGGCCACTCAAATGACTAGATTCATTAACAACTTACCTTACGATGAAAAGGTCACCTTTTAAAGTGCAGTCTGGAGGATAGTTTGATTTTTCGGTAGGCGGAGCTGCTGGGGTCTTTGAAAAGGACAGGGTCCTTATGGAGCTCAGTTTGAAGTGGCTGTACCAGTTAACAATGGACAGGGTGCGATCGTAGAACTTAATGTTACCTCTAATATCACCTGTGACAATATAGCTGAAATGGAGAAAAACGTGAGTTTGTTAGCTAACTGTAGTAAGGACCGGATATCTATTGAACAGCTAATCACATGTCAGGCTCTAGACTCCGGGAATTGTCAAAACTTGACTTCATACTACCATCCAAGGCTGATTTTACTGTTATTCCACTTTACATCTAGGAAACTCAGGCTCAGAGAAGTTGAGAAATTTGCTCAAGGCCTGGGTTTGCCAGATTTAGCAAATAGAAATGGAGGTTGCCCAATTAAATTTGAATTTCAGTTAAACAATGAGTAATCTTCTAGCTTAAGTATGTCCCAAATAACGTACGGGACATACTTCTACAAGGCAACCCTATCAGGCCCTGTGGCTAGACTATGCAGGTGTACCTAATGCAAAATCGGTGCTCTTGCTTTACTCTCCCTGCCTTCCCAGATCAGCCATGTGCAGCGGCAATGGGCAGTGATTTACATTCTCTGCTGTGAAACCGTCTACCAGCCCTCCGATATCACCCAGCCTGGCAATAGGACACAAGCTGCTTTACAAGAAGGCACTGTTGTTAGAGCCATCGTAAAACCCTGTCCAGTCATCACAGCCAAAGGCAGTGCCGCGTGACAAAATGGCTTTTATTTCCAGTCCTCAGATCCATTCCAAATGGGCTTTTTTTTAAAAAAAGCCTCTAGGGGCGCCTGGGTGGCGCAGTCGGTTGAGCGTCCGACTTCAGCCAGGTCACGATCTCGCGGTCCGTGAGTTCGAGCCCCGCGTCAGGCTCTGGGCTGATGGCTCGGAGCCTGGAGCCTGTTTCCGATTCTGTGTCTCCCTCTCTCTCTGCCCCTCCCGCGTTCATGCTCTGTCTCTCTCTGTCCCAAAAATAAATAAACGTTGAAAAAAAAATTAAAAAAAAAAAAGCCTCTAACTTAATTCTAATTGTGGGGGGGGGGCAGGGGGATGAATTTCCTCTCATATATGCAAAGTGATTAAATGAGGTTTCTGATTAATAAGCGAGGCAGGTGGGCAGAGTAATTGGCTAGAACACCTTTCACTGCCCTCTGCTGGACAGAAAAGGCAAAACAAGCCAAGTATTTTCAAGACCTTTCCCTTCATGGGCTCCCTGGTCCCGTCTGGGTTTTATTTAACACGGAGAGAGGGGAACAGAGGGCTGGTCTTCACTGGCCCTAACCCCCAAGTAATTAAAGGTTGGTTCATCAGCAGCAGCAATTCCATCACTGTCTTCTCCACACCACTACGTGAAGACGGCAATTCACATTTCTCTTTGAAAAGCCATGCCAGACCCTCACTGCTCCCTTTATTAAAAGAAATGAAAATGAAAGCAGGGCTTTTGGAAAGCAGATGGCACAGTGGCTCCAATTATATGGTCATGGTCCTTGTCATTTGGCAATTTTCTCCATCACTTTTGGGAACTTCTCTAGCATACTAACTTTTTCACCTAGGGCTCCCTTGTGCCAGATGATGTGTTACAAGTTTTACATGCCTTGTCTCACAAAATCCCCATAAAATCACTCTGAGAGAGATAGTATTGTTATGCCCATTTTACAGATGGAAAGATGGAGGCTCAGCAAAGTCCCTTGCCCAGGGTCCCTCAGCAGGGAACAGATGCACCTAGGATGTGAACCCCTTTCTATCTGAGACTAAGGCTTTTAATGATCCTCTCTGAGCCCCCACAACCTCTCAAGTCAGTGAACTTCATAAAGGTCTGTTGTATTTCATCTTTTCATAATGGGTGAGTGTTATTTATTTATTTGTTTACTTATTTACTTATTTATTTATTCTGAGAGGGGTGGGGGGAAGAGAACCAGTGGGGAAGGGGCAGAAAGAGGGAGACAGAGGATCTGAAGCAGGCTCTGTGTTGACAAGAGAGAGCCATACACGGGACTTGAATTCACAGACTGTGAGATCATGACCTGAGCCGAAGTCAGGGTCCCTGAGTGGTTCAACCAACTGAGTCACTCAGGGACCCTGGTAAGTGTTACTTTGTAATCAGACAAAAACCCCAACATAGTTATTCACGTTATTTTCTTAAAATTAAAGTATGTAAAATTTAGGGTGCAAAATAAAGTCTAATTAGTGTGGAAGAAAAAACAAGTTACTTTATGTTTCACCAACACAAAGGGATTTTTAAAAGTAATATATGCCCATGATTAAAAAAATAATAATAAAAGCAAACCAATTAGTACAAATGAGACTATAAAAAGAGGTGAATCTAACCCCCACCCTGATCCTACTTCTCCATTCTTTTCCTCAGAGGCAACAAACATTCCCAGTTAATAACGAATTTCCCCAAAAATATTCTATGCATATACAAAATACATGTATACATCCAAAAGGGTTTTAAAATACTTTTGTAATCCTTGATAGCTACTTTTTAATTAAGTTAATTACCTATCAACTGTAGTAAGCACAGTGATGCCCTCTTTCTGCAAATGAACCAATTTACAAGGTTTGATATGAGGAAAGTCCAGAGAGGCGGAGGCAGACGATGGGGGGCGGTATATGTCCCAGACAACCAGCTTCCCTTCCATTGTTGCTGAGAGTATTTGTGTTAAATTCAAATGAAAGACTGACTGGGTTAATTTTCCCACGAGCTTGTTGAACGTCTGCATTTCAAAAGACAGATTACAAGTTACCATTGGTAATAAATATAAAACAAAACATTTATCAATATGACATTTTATAATATTACACTGAAATACAGTAGGAAAAAGATAAAATTTAAACAAAACAATCACTAACAAATCTCTCCCTCGTGGATTGCCGGGGTGCAGGCAGTTCTGAGCCTCTGAAGGTTTGCTCAGAGCCAAGTGAAGGGTTATGTACTGTGCTAATTAAACTGTTTGCTTAAATCAAATGAAAGAGTGGTTAATCACTTGTTTATACCTGTTCAACTTCCTTACTTTCAGAGTAAGGGGTTTCAGAGACTGATAAAGAGACTAATGTCTGTCGTGAGCATGCTCCAGTTGTAAGATATCATAAAGTAATTATCCCAGTCTCATAATTATAGCCTTTTTTCCCATCAGTAGAAATTAAGTACCATACAGTACAGAAATGCCCCTGACTCCTTATGAAATGTGTGCTACAAAAAATAAGGCACTAGGCCATCTCTCTTAGGCAACATCTTAGAGATGAAGTATAGAAAGAACCCAGAGCAGTGAGTGGAGCCCCACAGTGAATATTTAACAAATGAGTAAATCAAAGAAACTCCACATTTTGTCATGCAAGACAGCATGTCTGCTGCCCGGTTCTCCCAACTACACAGACAAGACTCTACGGTTTACCTCTATTGCCCTGAACACAAGAGGGTCGGGAAAACAATAGCTGGTTAAGCAAGGGCGTCAAGTTCTTTCTAAGAGCAGCTCTGATTCAATACAAGGCATTTTCATCATTTCAAACTACAGACAATCCTCATTGTGGGTTCTGTATCTGCAAATTCACCTCCTTGCTGAAATTTATTTATAACCCAAATCAATCCTTGTGGGACTTTCAATGATCATTTGCGGACGTGCACATGTGCAGAGAGGCAAAAACACTGGCCTCTCCCTAGGCGCACGTTCTTAGCTGAGGTCAAGCAAGGATGCGCTCTGCCGTACTTCAGCTCTCAAATTGTAAACAAGTGTCCTTTTCGTGGTCTGTTGAGTGCCATGTTGTTTGCAGTTATGAGGTGCTTTTTGTTGGCGATTTCAGTACTTAAACTGGCCCCAAACAAGACACTGAAATGCTGTGTAGCGTTCCTGAGTGCAGGAAGGCTACGATGTGCCTTCCAGGGGACAGACCTGAGTTAGATAAACTTCATTCAGGCATATGTTCCAGAGTTGTTGGTTGTGAGTCAAAGTTAATGAATCAACATTACATATTAAATATGGTGTCTTTAGGGGCGCCTGGGTGGCGCAGTCGGTTAAGCGTCCGACTTCAGCCAGGTCACGATCTCGCGGTCCGTGAGTTCGAGCCCCGCGTCAGGCTCTGGGCTGATGGCTCAGAGCCTGGAGACTGTTTCCGATTCTGTGTCTCCCTCTCTCTCTGCCCCTCCCCCGTTCATGCTCTGTCTCTCTCTGTCCCAAAAATAAAAATAAACGTTGAAAAAAAAAATTAAAAAAAAAATATGGTGTCTTTAAACAAAAACATAACGAGGTTATGCATCTATCTGTTGACGAAAATGTTAATGACCAGAGGCCAGCAGGAACCTAATCGTGTATTTCATCTAGGAGCAATGACTTCGTATTCACTATCTGAGGTCTGCAGAGACTTGATCCAACGTAACTGCCACGAACAACGAGAACTGACTTTATTTTGCGAAAACTTTGATTTATGAAAAAGAGCTTGCAGACAGAATATTCTCTCCTTGTATTCATCCATCTCATATTTTTTTTTGGCATGCCCTCTTAAAAAATAAGTTCCTATAAATCATAACAAGAGTGAAGAATGAAAGAAGAAACATCATAAGATGCTTGCTGGGGGCAGGTGACATGGGTGTCAAATGCAGAAAATGCTGTAGGAGACAGGACCCCAGTTCCACCTTGGACGGGACAGCTGGAGGCGAGCAGGCAAGACAAACAGTTTCCTCCAACCCCTGCTGCACTGCCTTCCCCCTGGTTCTTAAACCTCCCAATACCCCACATCAGGTTTTATTGCTCTGAAAACCGGGTGGCTTAAAAAGGATCCACTCATGTTCAACTATTATATCACTCCAAATTAATTTTCATTCTGTGTCTCACACACACACACACACACACACGCACACACTCACATTAGTAAATCTATCACTCTTTTGGATATTTTCTCAGGGTAGTCACCTATCATTTCCATAATATTTTATTTTGAACAAAAGTCCATTATTTTCAGCTGGCAATTCAATATGGTGAAGGACCCAAGTAAAAAATTCAAATGATTTCCCAGTGGTTTAATATCAAGACACCAAGAGTAGCCCAAAGCGACTAAGCTCACACATACATATTTACTCTGCACAAACTCTGACATATAAAAGTGGAACAGGCATACTCACTTTTTCTGTTAAATGTGGGGCACTGTGAGCAAGTATATCTCTCTCTTCACACTGTTAAGTACAGAAAAAATAATCACTACTAAAAAAAAAGACCTGGTTTCCAAAAGAAGAATATAACCACAAAATCAAAACAAATGCATCTAAACAGGCTCAGAGCTTTGCAATCTCTATAGATAAGGGAGCCTGCTGCCTCCAGGAACATCTGAAAACATTCTGAAAGAAAAGCAAATACATAAAAAAAAAAAAAAAAAAAAAAAAAAAAAAAAAATGCCACAAATGGTTGTGACTTTAAATGGGAATGAATGCAAATCTGAATTCTACATTTGTAAGGCATTAAAGCTACAATAAATACTGGAAGTAATGACTACCACTGAAAAATCAGTGATTCATTCAATCAGTGTTTTCGTTTTGCATTTTTAACTGAGGTAAAACCCACATAACATAAAATTAACCATTTACCATTTTAAAGTGTGTAATCCAGTGACATTTAGTACATTAATAATGCTGTGCAGCCATCACCTCTCCTAGTCCCAGAACACTTTTATCACCCCGAAAGAAAGCCCCCTCTCCATGAAGCAGTCCCACGTGCGGCTCCCGGAGCCCCCAACAACCACCATTCTGTACTTTGTCCCCTGGATTCTCCTGGTCTGGACATTTCATATCAGTGCAATCATACAGCATGTGGTTTGCTGTGTCTGGCTTCCTTCATTTAGCACCATCACCATGCTTTCGAGATTCACCCACATTGCAGCAGGTGTCAGTGCCTCGTTCTTTTTTTATCGCTGAATCATATTCCATTGTATGGATTTGCCACATTGTGTCTGCATTCATGAGCTGATGGACAGTTGGCTTGCTTCTACCTCTTGGTTATTGCAAATAATGCTGCCCTATGAACATCTGTATGTGAGTATTTGTTGGCTTGCCTGTTTTACATTCTCTTGCATTTAGGAATTCCTGAGTCCTGTGGTAAGTTTATATTTAACTTTCGATGTTTTTTTAATCTCATGATTCCACCCTGTATCAGTATTGCTGATCTGTTTGCTAATTCCTATCTATAAAAACCAAGGTCTTGAAAAACCCTGCATTTTAAACCTGTTAAGTACATTTATTTATTTTATTTTTTTTTTT